GCATAGTGGGTGTGGGGAGCAACTCAGACTAGACTAAGTTACTGGAATTAAGACTTATTCTATGCATCTGCTCTCCCACAATATGGCGCTGGGAGAGGAGTAAACAGCTTCTACACAGCTGCTTCTCACCAACTTGACAAGCTGCAGGAGCTGCTCCTGATTGGAGGAGAGCAGCACACTCGGCGTGTGGGTAGCAGAGTTGGGATTGGTGGAAGAGGACTATAAAGGAGGAGAGAGACAACATGCACCAGGAACATCCATCTAAAGGGAACACCTGTGCAGCCCCCGAGAGAGCCGGCCGGCGGTGTGCCGCTCCCCTGCGGAAGTGGGGAATGTGGCAGGGGGAACCGCCCTTCCACGGAGGTGGAAGGGACGGTAGCCAACCCAGGAAGAACCAGCAGCAAACCCGGGAAGGGCCGAGCAGACAAAAGAACAGCGCAGGGTCCTGTGTCGTTCCTCCGCGAAGAGGGGGAGTGACATAATGGTGCCGTGACTCAGATATGAAGCCTAGGAGGGATAATGGTGCCGTGACTTGGATAGGAAACCTAGGCAGGGTTTAGTGTCATTCCTCCACAAAGAGGGGGAGCGACATAATGGTGCCGTGACTCGGATAGGAAACCTAGGAGGGAAGAAACAGGAAGAAGCGGGAAAATACCAGAGAGAGAGATTAGAGAGAGCCTAGGGAAAAGCCGGATGGAAAAAGTGCCGGAAGAAGTTAGGATTGAAAGCGAAAGTGAAAGCTGGAAGAAACATAGACTCAGATACGGACTATGGCAGGGAAGCTAGGAGAAATCTATGGTTGAAAGCGAAAGTGAAACCTAGAAGAAACTTAGACTCGGATACAGACTGTGGGGAGAAGCCAGGAGAAATGAGAGGGGAATATTGTTGGAAGAAAAGTTAGGAAACATACCGGGTAGAGAAAAATGTTAGAGAGGATGAAGCCGCGGGGGCAGGCCAAAGCGGAGACGAAAGCTAGCTTGGGATTCGTCAAGTCAGCCCGGGGAACAAAAGGCGAAAAGCTAAAACCAGAGGCAGAGACGTAAGCTAGGTTGGAATCCGTCAGATTAGCCCGGTGAGCAAAAGACAGGAAGCCAAACCGGGAGCGGAGACGTAAGCTATAGGTTGCATTTCGTCAGGTTAGCCCAGGGAACTTAGACTGAAAACCAAGAAGCGGAAACGTGAGCTAGGCTGTGTGATTCGCGGAAGCTGCCGCGCGCAGAGAGAGCGTGCGGGGCACGAATAGATAGGAATGCAGGGCTGGCGCGGGGCTGTGGTGCGGGCGCGAAGGGGCGCGGAGACCGCGGAGCGTGTGCGAAGCCGGGAAGCCACGCAGATGAGAAGCGCGGGCTGAAGCGGCGCAGAGCCGGGAAGCCGCGGGGCGAGGCGCCGAGAAGCTGCCTCGGGGCGGGCGCCGGGAAGCCGTGGGGATAAGAGAAACAGAAGTTTAGAAGTAAAATGAGAGAAATAGGAATGCTGGCAGATAGAAGTAAAATGGGAGAAATAGGAATGCCCAGAGATAGAGAAATAGAGAAAAATAAGGCCTCCCCACAACACGGCAATGAGAGGGCTTGGATTCGGTCTGCCTGATTAGGCGATAAGCACCAGCAGGCAGCTCGACCAGAGTATGAGCTGCAGGTCACCGAAGATAGGCACGAATCAACATCAATAAGTCTCCCCACAATATGGCAATGAGAAGGCTCAGATTCGGTTTGCCTGATTGGTAGGGCTTGTAAGCACCTGTAGGCAGTTCTAGCAGAGCAGAGCATGCGCTGCAGGGCACCGAACACAGGCACACATCAGTGCCTAAAAAACCTCCTCACAACATGGTGAAGAGAGGACCCAGATTCGGTTTGCCTGATTGGTAGGGCTTGTAAGCATCTGTGGGCAACTCTAGCAAGCAGAGCAGAGTGTGTGCCACGGGGCACCGAAGACAGGCGCGTATCAACACCAAAAAATAAAAAGAAAGGGGGAACTGTGGGGAGCAACTCAGACTAGACTAAGTTACTGGAATTAAGACTTATTCTATGCATCTGCTCTCCCACAATATGGCGCTGGGAGAGGAGTAAACAGCTTCTACACAGCTGCTTCTCACCAACTTGACAAGCTGCAGGAGCTGCTCCTGATTGGAGGAGAGCAGCACACTCGGCGTGTGGGTAGCAGAGTTGGGATTGGTGGAAGAGGACTATAAAGGAGGAGAGAGACAACATGCACCAGGAACATCCATCTAAAGGGAACACCTGAGCAGCCCCCGAGAGGGAGCCGGCCGGCGGTGTGCCGCTCCCCCACAGAAGTGGGGAAAGTGGCAGGGGGAACCGCCCTTCCACGGAGGTGGAAGGGTCGGCAGCCAACCCGGGAAGAACCAGCAGCAAACCCAGGAAGGGCCGAGCAGACAAAAGAACAGCGCAGGGTCCTGTGTTGTTCCTCCGCGAAGACGGGGAGTGACAGTGGGTAAAGCCATGGCCTGCAGTGCCGGCATCCCATATGGACACCAGTTCAAGTCCCAGCTGCTCCACTTCCGATCTAGCTCTGCAGGCCCCTGAGCCTGCATGGGAGACCTGGAAGAGAATCCTAGCTCCTGGCTTCAGATTGGCTCAGCTCCAGCTGTTGTAGCCATCTGGGGAGTGAACCAGCAGATGGAGTACCTCCCTCCCTCTCTCTCTGCCTCTGTCTTTAAAATTAAAAAATTAATATTTAAAAAAGAAACGAAAAGAAATAGCAAGGCAGAAGAGTTGGGTTAGAATGCACTTGCTGACTGGCGAGCAAATCCACACAAGCGACCTGCACCTCGGAGGCTTCAGAGTCACCTTCGTGTCCCTGGCTGCAAACCAGCCCAGTTGGCATCAAGGGAGACAGCAGGTGTGACCTGCCCTGACACAAGCCAGCAACCACAAGAAGGGCCTTGGGGAGCAGGCGGCAATGGAAGCTGCGCGCCCACCCTCAGGCGGCGTTCCCGAGCAGCCTGCTGCCTCCCACGCTCGGACACTGCTCCCGAGACCACCAGGAGATACACCCGTCCCACCACACTCCTGCCGTCCACAGAGGGAACTCGGTGCCTCCTGCGCCCAGCCACACCCAGGCAGGAAAACAAAGGAGCTGAGACCACCCTTCTCCCCGGCCACCTCACAGCCCAGTTCTCAAGCTCTTTCAAGGCCCACCCCCTTGTGTGTTTACCACCTGGTAGCAGCATTTCCACCCCACACACACCTCACTCACTAATTCTCAAATGAGTACAAATAACCTCTGATTGTGATCCTGCTCTGGAACAAAGTCTTACTTAAAATTGTATTCCCTGTTTAGGTCCCTCCTTAACAAACATGTCAAATTATGAAGTTTACAGGCTGATTTCAGCTTTCCTAAGTTCACAACAGAACTTTCAAAATAAGCAGGAGCTAGTGGCTTTGATCCCATCAAAAATCACCTTCACGCTTTTGTCTGAATGTGAATGTTTTTGAACTAAGAAGAAAAGACAAAGTAGCTATAAATAACTATAAGAAAAAAAGTCCATTTGGGGTCAGATCTTAAACAGAAAAAGCAACCACCAAAAAACAAAGTTTGACAAGTTAACTAAAACATAATTTAAATCATTCACACAACTGTCTTAGGAATAAGTGACAAAATGAAGACAAAATATACACAAGCTGCAAGAAAGACCCGTGATCCAAAATGCACAGCAAACTCCGGTATAAATCAGCAAAAAACACCAGCAAAAAAATTAGAAAAACATAAATAAGAAACAACCCACTTATAAAACAGGAAATTAAAATGGCTGGAAAACACAAAAAATCTCATCAATAATTGGGGAAATGAAAAGTAAAACAAGCTACTATATATTTTTTTTTTACCTATTTAGCTGCAAACATTGGAACGTTCTGAGTAGCCAGCGGGGCTGCTGATGAGCAATGGCCTCTCCTGACCCCTGCTGGTGGCTGAATCACCCAGGGCTGCAACTTGGCAAACCCCAAAGCTACTCATCTTCTAAGAGCATTCACTCGTGGGTACAACTAGGAAGTGCAAGGTTCCCTTTACTTGTCCATAAATAGTCCATCCCAGACGAAACGGTGACACGCACCACGGAACACACCTACAGAGAGATACCAGGCAGTAATTCAGAAACCAAGGGGATTTAAACACGCTCTCCCCAAAGCAGAGCGAGCAAAACTGTACCACAGGCACCTGCGTGGACACGAGTACAGTTCCAGAGGAGTTGCTATGGTCTGCGTGTGGTTTGAGCGTCACCCAAGCACCCACTGTGACTTAAGGCGTGGTCCCCAGGGCGTCGCTGTAGGAGGTGCTGGGGTCAGTCCGGGCTTGCCCTCCAAAGCGATGAGACCCCACCCAGCTCATCACACAAGCCTTACTCTGCGCACACGCGTGCTCAAGCTCCACTCCCACCCCTCGCTAGAGCCTGCACCACGCTGTCCAACTTCCAAAACCATGAGCAAAACAGACCAACTTCTTCCTAAACTGCCTTCATCGGGTATTTTGTTAGAGTGGCAAGAAGCTAACGCAGACATACAGGTAACCATTCTGAGGGGCTCTGCAGGGGAAAGGTAAGGTGACTTTGCTTCTGAGAATTCTCCTCCTCTAACTTCACATAGCATGTCTTTAGCCACTAAGAGAAAAGAATTTCTAAATCCTCTTAAAGTCCCCCGAGGGAAATTGAAGGCCAACACCTGCAGCGTACCACTGAGGGAGAAGCACACACACAAAACTCCATGTCAGCTTCTCTCTGCCACAGCAACGCCTGGGAGGGAGCCCGCCTGCCCGGGGCACTTCTGGAAAGGGGCGGATTATCAGAGGTCAGGGCCACAGAGGAGACGGTGCTTCCCAGGGACTCGCGAACTCATAATCTTTGAACACACAGAGGAAGCGGTGCTGAAGGAAGCACTCATTTGTTCCCGTTAAAATCCATGACATGAAAAATACTGGTTTGCTTCACTGTTATTGTTTCCTAATTTATAGAGGCTTAAGTTTACTCCATTATCACACTTTGTACCATGTTTATTTTGCAAGTGGTTTTTAATTCTTTAGCCATAATTTTCCCAGTTCTTTACATTAGGACATCTCTCTTACATCCTTTTAAAACATCAGACACAGAACTGGTTAGAAGTTAAAAAGGAAAAACACAGTCTTTCCTGGAAATAACATGACATCGTATTTCACAGAAAGGCGATCGCCCCTTTGAGAATTGAAGCTGCTGGGGTGACATTTCATCGTGGATCCCAAAATAGCCCTGAGGTCTAAATAGGAAAATATCTTTTATAAACCCTAACAAAATGCTCACTCAAAATAAAGCTCTCTGAAGTGTATACAGTCACAGTCGTAGTCAACACCTTCACAGCATGATGTGAGAGATACAGGACAACGAAAACAGCGTTACACTCAGAACCCAGAGCTGACCCCGGTCCATTCTGCTGCTGTCACAAAGTACCGCTGCTCAAAGCACGGGTCCTCGGCCACCCAGCACGTGGCAGGCAGAACTGGCTTTTGACCAATGAGAACTCCATTAAGGTTAGCTTTCCATGCTCGCTGGGACAGGGCACAGCATTCCAAGTCCTTCGGATGCTCCAGGGCCTCTTGGGGCTGCCGGTCACATGGCAGGGTCTGGGGTACCCTTTCATGGCTGCCAGCAAGCACACATAGTTGTACAGTTCTACAATAGCTTCCAGAACTTCTGCTAAACGTTGGCATGAGGGAGACTCCATGACGACATCCCCCACCAGACAAATCCAGCCACTCAACATGGGCCACTGTGCGAGCTGCATGGCCAGTTTCCTTTCCTGCTTCTCTCCCACCTGTTCTTTAAAAACAGTAGAAGAATGCCACAGTACAATGCAATGGTGCCTCTCAAAACATGAGACTGTGAGAACGTTGATCAGAGGAGCTAACATTCGGGCAGACTTGAGAAATCTGGGTTTCTTCAGGGTACGACGTTGATTCTGGGCTTACCTGGGGCTGTGGGCTGGATGCCTGGTGGAGGTCTCCACAGGGGACATCCCCATGGGTCTGGGCCCCTCCACGTGGCCAATGCTTGTCAAAGGCAGTCATGACCCAGACCTGCTGGCAAAGGTCCACACGAGGTGGTTGGGGCATCACAGCTTGGGCTGTGTCAACTCTGGCCACATTAATGGCACATTGGCTGGGACGCTACCAGTGGGTCCTCCAGCTGTGCAGTCTGACTGAACACACACCACTGGAGCAGCTCACACCTAGAATTTCCCAGGGGCCACGGCAAAGCACAAGGCTGGGTCTCCCTTCAGCACACATGCGTGTGCATACACTCCCCCTTATAAAACACTGTCCACGCTGGTGCAGCCGCTGCTGAGGACTGTCAGAACACAGCAGGGGCTGTGCCTTTCATAAGTCTCATTTCAGGCTGGGTCAGAGTGCAGAAATTGTGTCTGCAGCACTTGCGTTCAACTGAGTGGCTCAAAAAACTAGTCAAATGCATTCAGGTAGGTTTCCTTTCTGCCTTCTTACAAAAACCCCTCCAGAGGAATTTCTCTAGTCACTTATTTAAAATGTTAACGAACACACACAGAACTTCACGGGCACAGACGCTGAGCAGCTGACTCGGTCAGAAAGGTGCATAAAACAAATCGCGAACGCACTGGGAAGAGGTGCAGACTTGAGGAGACAGCCTCAGAGCTGCTGGAACTGCCTTTCGGCAAGTTCACGGAGATGACAGCACCCACCCCGCAGTGGTCATTCACCGGGTCCCAGCTGCTGTCACAAACCAGAAGTGTTTCCATCAGGCGCTCTCGTGACCAAGGTTCCACCTGCCCTCCAGGAGGCTGCCCGGCGGAAAGGAGCTAACTTGAGCCGTCTGGGGTGGACGCCGAGGGGCAGGCAGCAGAGACATACCCCGGGAGGTCTTCCAAAAGACGAGCACCCACCTCCAGGGCAGAATCCAGCAAGTGGCCCACGGTGGAGGGCAGCTGCAGAGCACACACATGGGGAGCACACTGGAGTCTCCCAGATACGGTGAGAGAGAAAGACTGGTGTTTTGTCCCGGGAAAGGCAAGCGGTGAGGAGCTCCGACCACTGTGGAGCAGGCGCACCTCGGAGAGCAGAGCCACGCCTCCCTGCACAGAGCAAAGGCGGGGTCCAAGGTCAGCGAGAGCACTGCCTCCCCGCTCCGGGCAGCATGGGCCAGAGTCTCAGTGCTCCTGCCAGCCAGCAGCACCATGGCCACTCTCAGTGCAGGCTAGTTTGTTCACTCTCTGCCACGTGTTTCTCCATAACGGGTATCTCTGGGGCTTCCCAACTGTCTGGGGACTGTTGCGGGCCTGGGGTCTGTCCCGGTCGAGAGCTTCTGTCACATCCACAACAGCTGCGCCCCTCCTGCAGCGACCAGGGAAGAGGTGGCGGAGCAGACCCTTCCTCACGCACAGACCCATCTGCAGCCAGCACCAGGAACTCCACCTTGTCCCACAGAACGAGGCCTGCATGTCGGGGGCGGCAGCTGGGACCACGCGAGGCTGAGGCGTCCAGGGCTGCAGGAGCTGCGGGGGAGCTGGAGAAGAAAAAGGCGCAGAGCCCTGCCCTGCTCCAGCCTGGCAGGTTCAGCACTGGGCTGACGGCGGGATGCTGTTCACAGAGGCCGGCAGAGAAGATGGCCATGGGCATCCCACATATCCCAGCGTCAGCCCCGCAGGCCAAAGCCATGAGCGGCCACCTGCATTACCAGTCATCCCGCCCACAGAGTGGGGTTTGTTGCTGTTGAGACAAAGCATGCATCCACCAGGGGCAGCTGAAGACCCTGGGCACCTGCATGTCCCCCTAAACATCCCTCAGCTGCCAGAGCCCCAGCTCCATCACCCAGGATGTCCGAGGGGTCAGCAGGCATCTCACTTCCGGTCAGCAGCCGTGACACCGTCCTTCTGTCCCGTTCCATCCTCATGTACGCAAACGCTAAGATGCACTAGGCTATACCTCACCTTCTCCCCTAACTACGTTTATGTATAAATCCCTGAGAAGTACCTGTCAACTTGAAATTCACTATTTACAGTTAATGAACATCAGGGGAGCGAGCAGAGACCCCTCCATCGCAGGTCAGGAACCTCCTGGAAAAAGGGGCTGTGGGCTGGGGGCGGGTTGGACTGTGTCTTGGGGACGTGGAAGTCACGACTTGGTGACACGGCAGGGACTCTGAGCCACAGATGATCAAGGAATTCAGCCCAACCCAAAGAAGGGCACAGGCAAAAAAGGCCAATGAGGAGCAGAGAGATGCTGAAGCAGATGGCAGAGAGCAAACACGACGAAGTCGGAGGCAACACTAAGGCAGTGGCCCCCTGAATGACACAGGAAGGGGTGTGTGCAGGGAGCGCCACCCTTCACAGTGAGTAAATGCAGCTGCGGAAAGCAACAGAAAAGCCCGAAGCTGAAAAACATCCTTGGAGCGTGGCAGGTGCATGACTCCATCCTGGGTACCAGACCACCTCATCTGCTCTGGGAAATCTTTTCTCCAAAGTGAGATGACCATGATCTTGAGCCTAAAACAGACCTTGCACTAACCCCATGAGCCCTTCAGGTGGCTCATCTGTTCACTCCTCTGCAAGGGGCGCCCAGAAAAGACCCACAGCCCCCTCCTCTCCTGGGGCCCGTGTCCTGGAGCTCCTGCGAATCCCCGGGGTGAGGGGTGATAACTCCAGAGGCCACCCTGCTGACCCCTCTGCTGACTCCTGCACTCCTCTCCCGACCTGCTTGCACCTCCTCCTGCCCATTCCAAAGGCAACAGGAGAGAGAACAAAGCGGCTGATAACGCTCTCCTTGCTTCCCAACATTCCTCTGCCGGCAAGGCTGCTGCCAAAAGGAGACCCTGCGCAAGCTATCTCACGTAGAGCTGCAGCAGCCACCTGGCCCCTGCCTCCCCATCTCATGAGACCGAAAGCATCCCGCAGGCAGCCACCGATGCCACTCAGCTCTGCAGAGCGGGACTGGGCAAAGTCTGCCCTCCAGCTCGAACAGCCCTTCCCGCATTGGGGTCTTGCGGGTTTTCACATTCCCTTTTGCTCCCAAAGCCCACAGCAAGCTCCCCAGGAAGCGAGACTTCCCCTGGCACCTGTCAGTCTCCTTCACAGTACCCAATGCCAGCCAGATCGTAGCAGCTCCCACATAGTAGGGCAAGTGGCAAGTCCACTGTCGGGCTGGCCAAAGAAATCACTGAGCTGACCCACACTTGCTGGCTTTGCAGGCTTTTGTAAATGCACGTATCTCTACAGCTGTTTTTGCAGACCCTGAGATCATGGGATACACCCATGCCACCCCAGCAGGTCCTGTGCACCCGGCCAAGGCTGGAACTCACAGGGGAAGGCCCAGCTCAGAACAGTCCTTGGCTGTCACTCCAGTGAGACCCCATGTGTGCACAGTCCCCGACTCTCAAAATGGGTTGTGATGAGGTAGAGGGATGGGTGGGGCCAGAAATGCATACTTCTGAGTAGCAGGCAGCAGAGATCCAAGGTCTCAGTAGGGGCGGAGGGCTCCGTACCATTCCCAGTGCAAACTTCCACGGTGGAAATGGATGGGAATTCCAACATCCAGAGTCCGCCCATGCCGATCACCTGACACTGGTTGCTCCAACCAGTAACCCTTTGTGGGGGCTCAAGATGGGCATCCTGAAAAGACCACCATAACAGCAACGAGGGCCTCTCACCACCTGATGTGGAGAAATCACAGTTCTCAATGCAGGCTGCAGTGTGTAGGGGCCTGGGGGCTTCAGGAAAACCCCAGGGCGTGGCTCCCCCAGCCCCGTGAGACCTTGCACAATAGGGTAGGGGCTCTCGCTGTTCTCAAGGTCAGCCACCATGGAGAACCACAGATTCCAGACCACTGGCACTGCCCTGCTGGGTCCTCAGCCCACAGAAGTGAATGTGGGGCTCGGGACCAGCCTGGGGATTGTGTACACAAGGCAGGAAGATGCCACGATTCTGGGGGACACAGAAAGGACCCCCTCCAAAAACGGCCAGGGGCAGTCACAGCCCTCACGCCCTCCAAGGGTGACCCAACTACTGTCAGGGGTTCTCAAGGCAGATGCATCTCTGTGGAGTTGAGAAGGCGCTTCCTGGAAACTTATTTTAAACCCTGTCTCTTCATCACACCCCACAGTCTCCCCACAGACTGGGTACAGGCTGACACCCAGCTGAATGGAGTGCGGGGAGAAGCTGGTGTGAAATCCCTGACTGCTCAGGGCCTGAAATCTGCTCAAGGGGAGAAACAAGGAGAAGCCAGCACCCCCACCCTCCCCCCATCTGCATGAGACAGACAGGTGCACATCACAACATGGCTAGGGTTACAGTGGAGCACTTCCAAATCAGTCCACAATATTTTAAATCTATGGCTTCCAACTCCTTAAACTAAATATTTAAATATAGTGTCTATGCGGCAGAAAATGTCAAATCCAGATGGCCAGAGATTCATTAGCAGCTCTCAACACTGGAGATAAAAGTATGGACAAAAAACTCCCACTGAGAGCTGGGCACCCGAGAAAATCAGCAAAACCCACACCTGGGGAATTCTATAAAGCTGTCTTGCAGATGAGCGGAAAACTGGGGCAACCACCAGAGGAAAACTCAAAGCAGTCCCCACAGGAGGCAGTCTCTGGACTTGCATCTTGAGAAAAGGGGCACCCAGTCTGCTTGGGGAGACTTGACAGAAAGGGGCACCCTGTCCACTTGGGAAGACTTGGCCAAAAGGGGCACCCTGTCTGCTTGGGGAAACTCGGCCTGCAACACATTTGCCTACCACCTCCCAATCCTAATCACCCTCCCCACTTCAGCAGTGTGTGCTATGGGGGTTCCTAGCTATCTTTACATCTATATCACATAACTAAATTTCACCTTTCTGGTCATCACTTATCAAATAGGCCCTCAATTGATTAGGTGACTTTTTTCTCTCATTTCTATGTTTTTAAATGTTAAAGAGCCTGTATACAGTTTATCTAAAATCCCTTGCTTAAAGTGCATATAGTTCTAGCAATAAATACCTGTTGATCTACACACTGTTTCATAATTTGGCAACTTTCTGCATTATTATTACTCTACGGGTAAAAGTTTTAAAAATAAGATACAATGAAATCTGATCCCTCTGTCTCACTCTATCATTTTGCTATAAAAGTCAACAATTCCCTCAAAGAGAAACAAATGTTCACATAAAGAAATCAGAATACCCAGTGCCCTCCTGCACCAACAAGAAACCAACTGCAAAAGGGGACGGGGTTCCCACAGATCCATGTGAACTCACACTGTCACAGGCCTCGCTCTGGTAACAGTTATCTTAAAACCTTCAGACAAACAAACGTAGTAACACCGCCTTCAGTACAAAGAGCCCCGTTGTCTGTATAATGCTCTGAATTTGATTCTGATTAAAAATACAAAACTTCTGAAAAAAAAAATGCCCTCTGATAAATTGCTCTTGAAAATCGTTCCTTGGGGTGCTCCAATGGGAGACCTCCAGGCAGATGGCCCACGAGGTGTCTGGATTGCTAGCGGAATCAGCCCTGAGCAAATGTGATTCCCTCCTGGGAGCAGCCTGAGCACACAGCATAGAAACACGGACAGCTTCATGGGTCCTGGGAGGGGCACGGTTCCCGCGCACGCGCCCCGCAGGCGCAGGTGCACCCTTCCGCAAGCTGCCCGCACACAGCCCGCGCCGTCACGTCCTTTTCCTCCAGCGCGGCGCCCGCCTCTCCTTCTGCGCTTCTGCCTGGCGCTGCTTCTCCGCCTCCTCCGCCCTCTTCCTCTCCTCCTTGGCCTCCTTGTACCGCCACTTGGGGATCTGCAGGTGGGCGCTGTCCTTGGTGCTGCCCTTGCCCGCTGCCCGCTCAGGCTGGAAGGTGGGCGCGGGTGCCTTGCTGATGCGCACTCGGGGCACCACGACACCAGGCCGCACGCTGCTGCGCCGCAGGAGCTGCAGCAGGCTGGCCTTGCGGGGGACGGCGTGGCTGGCTCGCCGCAGGCTGGCCAGTGGCACCCCTTCCTGCGAGTCGCCCGTGGCCTGTGAGGTCCGGAATTGCGGCTGTGGGCTCCTCTCGGGGCCACCGGCGGCTTGGGCCCCCTGTGCTGCCAGGATTTCCTGCACCGCCAGCCGCCGTTTCCCCACGCACGGGGGGTCCTCGGGGCACACGGTCTGGCAGACGATGGCCACAGCGGGGCTGTAGAGGCTCGTGGTCATCCTCACCATGTGGTCAAGGACCCCTCCGTCCTCTAGGCCTGGGGCGGAGCGGGAAGACAGCGAGAACCGCAGGCACTCGGCAAGCCTCTGCAAGCAGCTTTTGGAGCCTGCCGGCTTCGGGGCTCCCACGGGCGGCAGCGGCAGCTCCGGCTTGTAGGATTCCCCAAACTGCTCCGGGCAGGGGCGCTCCAGCAGCCTACGCATGAGACGCACAGCCTCGGCCCGGCCTGTGTAAGCGGCCCACTCCTGGGGCGACATCCCGCGTCGGGGGTCCTTCGCGTGCACATCTGCCCCTGAAACACGGAAAACACAAACGGGAGTGGGTTTGGGTGACAGAAGCACTTTCCTTGCACCAGCAGAGGTGCAGCCAAGCCCAGGGCCCTAGAGCAGGCTCTGCCCTGCCACTGTGTGGAAAGAGCCCTCCCCCGCCACCTTTACTGTGATCACACAACCGCCTCCAAGCACTGCCATCCATGGTCTTTCCTAAGTAAAACCTCACCTGAATTCAGATCCTGTGACTCCATGAAGAAGGGACAACAAAGCCATCTCCCCACACTTGCATGCTGTGACCAAAGTGTTCTGAAAATCCCACCCGGCGAAGTTGCCTGCCTGCACCCAGTGCCCACCTGATATCCTCTCACTTGGAGGGCTGCCGGGGGTCCTGCCTGGAGGAAGCAGCCTACCCTTTGCCTGTCACACCCGCTGGCTGAGTGGAGGGGGTGGGGCTTCCCCGGGATAGAGGCCATGCCCTGCTCAGTTTGGTTGCCTCCCATTCACCCAGGACTCCTCACCCAACAAACCACAGTCACAGTAGGAGCTGCCTGGGCTGGCAAAGCCGGTACCAGAGAGCAGGGAGCAGGTCTCAGGCTTGGGCCTCCTGACCCCAGCCCAGTGCCCATCCTGCCCCCAAGCAGGGCAGGGGGATGATGAGTTTTCTGCAGGCTAGAGCACCCCCAGGACTTACTGGGCAGGGGTCTTGCATCTTACAGTTAGTTGCCTGTAAGTCAAGGAGAGGACCCTCCCCAGTGTGGTGAGATCAGCCAATCAGCTAGCAGTCTCGCCTGGGCACAGCAGCCTCAGCTCCTGCCTGCGAGCCTGCCCTACAAACCCGAAACCCATCAACCACCACGACCGCGTGAACCACAACTCTTTTTTTTTTTTTTTAATTTGACAGAGTTAGACAGTGAGGGAGAGAGACAGAGAGAAAGGTCTTCCTTCCGTTGGTTCACCCCCAAATGGCCACTATGGCTGGAACTACGCCGATCCAAAGCCAGGAGCCAGGTGCTTCCTCCTGGTCTCCCATGCAGGTGCAGGGCCCAAGGACTTGGGCCATCCTCCACTGCACTCCCGGGCCACAGCAGAGAGCTGGACTGGAAGAGGGGCAACCGGGACTAGAACCCGACGCCCATATGGGATGCCGGCGCCACAGGCAGAGGATTAACCTAATGAGCCACTGTGCCGGCCCCAATGAACCATAACTCAACAATAAATCTCGTAATGTACACTTCCTATTGGCTCTATTTCTCTGCAGAACTTTGACTGACACACCCCAGTCTCCCTCACACTAGTCACTTCCTTAAATCCTCCCATAGCACCTACTGTCCCCCTACCCACTGCAAAATTAAGCTTCAGCTCAAAATGGTGAAATTGCATACATTTCAGCTTGATACCACAGAAGCTAATATGCAACTGCTGTTCAGTGGTGTGGAGAATCAGTGCAATTTTCTAGTCTGCAAGCTCCTCTGGAAACCAGGACCGGCTGAGGCATCTTCATTTATACCTCACATAGACCCAGGTGTCTGGCACACAGTGGCTGATCAACAGTGCTGATGGGACCAGCGCTGTGGCACAGCAGGTTAACGCCCTGGCCTGAAGCGCTGGCATCCCATATGGGCTCCCGTTCGAGTCCCAGCTGCTCCGCTTCCAATCCAGCTCTCTGCTCTGGCCTGGGAAAGCAGTAGAAGATGGCCCAAGTCCTTGGGCCCCTGCACCCACATAGGAGACCTGGAAGAAGCTGTTGGCTCTTAGCTTCAGATTGGTACAGCTCCGGCCAGAGGAGCCATCTGGGGAGTGAACCATCGGATGGAAGATATATCTCTCTGTCTCTCCTCTCTCTCTGTAACTCTGACTTTCAAGTAAAATAAATAAATCTTTAAAAAAAAAAAAAAAGAACAGCCACCCTGGAAGAGGGGTGATTATTTGGAAGTGGAAATCAGGATGGAACTCATTAGCTAGAGCACAATTTATAAAGTGACTAAAACGAAAAGGGGGCAGTAAAAATGTCACTGCAAAAAATAGATGACACATTAAACCTTAATTAATTGCATGCCACTCTGAAAAGGAACAAACTACAAAATTAAAATCTTAATGAACACTGCTTGAAAGACACATTTTTCAAATGCTAATGGCAAACTAAAGGAACAGCTGTCCAGAGTTCCTGTTCCCCAGTCTTTTCAAGATGAGCTCAGAAAACACAAACACTCTAAAGAACAAAAGCAATGGGACTACAGTATGGCCCTAACATCTCAGGCCTGCCGTAAATTAGGGATTTGCTGCCCAAAGAAGCTACTGGTGACAGCAATATCACAAAGTAACTCAATCATGAAAGACAAGCAATGGTGACTAACTTCTTATAGGAAAACCTTTCAGGAATACGGAGACTCCTTAAATGTCACTGTGCCCATCTCCTCCACAGGAGGCCACCTGCATCCTTAATCCCATCCGGTGCTGTTTCATCCAGGGCCCAAATATGTCAATAGGTGGGCTCCTGCCTATGGGTGCACCTGCTGCCACGTTGAATGCTCTGAGCTGCAGCATTCTCTCTGTTATTCAAGGCAGCAGCAGGCTCAGTTCTAGGCAATGCATCACAACTGCCCTAAACCAGCACTTGTCAACATCAGCACTCTTGACACTCAGGGCCAGACAACCAGTGACCAGGAGAGCTACTCTGGGTCCTGCAGGTGTCAACAGCATGCTCAGTCTCTGCTCGCCAGGTGCCAGTAGCACTCCATCAGTTCACGACAACTAAAAATGTCCCCAGCCATCGTCAAATGTCACCCTCACAGAGAAGCATGGATGCAACCTCAGGACTGCAGTCCTAGTCCCCACTGCCCCATGACACCGTGCCAGTCCTAAAGTGCTGTTGCCCTATGCCCAAAGGGGCCGACGTACCGGGGGAACGTGAGACACAGATGGGAGGCCCGAGGGTCTGGTGGCTGCGCTGGAGCTGGGTGGTGACAAGGCAACAAGCTCTGGAGGAAAGAACTGGGGTCTGAGATGCGTTTGCGGAGCCCAGGGCCCGCCCTGCAGGGACCACCAAGCTCAGGACCGCTGGGGAGGTGAGGAAAGCAGCAGCTTGGAGATGGGGATGTCTGTTCCAGCAGCATGTGCTCCAAACAGGTGCTAAAGAGGAATAACATCTGCCTTCCATCCCTCATTCTCAGCTTCCCCCCAAGAGTCAGGCCAGATGTGTGTGAGGGGGCGGAGGCGTGGGGGGAGCCCAAACACATCACTCCCTCCCCTCTCCCCAGCCAGTCCCCAGCCCCATGTTACCCACCCTGCAAAGCCCAGCTCAGGCCTCCCTCCTGCTGCTCCAGGGGACCGCTGTGGACCCACCAGCCCTTGCCAGCCTCTTCCCGGGACAGACCAGGATGGAGACGCCCAGTTCCAGTCCAGTCTCCTCCACAGTAGGGCAGCTAGGACTGAAGAAGGATGCTCCCACCACCACCAGCTTCCTTGTTGCTCAGCGCAGCATTTCTGAGTTGTCCTGTCAACTATCGGGGGGGGGGGGGGCCCGGGGGCTGATTCCACTCGCCCACGAGGGTGCATACCCAACTCACGAGCCCCACAGATTAGCATCCATCCCCTCCCTGCTTCACTTCCTCCTGCCTCCCTAGGCCCCCTGAGGTCATACTGCAGAAAACCTGCTCAGCCTGCGGTTTGCTGAGGGGTGCCAGGCAGACCTGGTTTTTATAGTCCTTTCTCTAATAACCGTAATAGCTCCGCTGTGACAAACTCAGCTCCCAGGAAGCTCCTGTTGTCCTTACAAACAGGGAGCAACTGTTCCGGTGACATCAGTCACCTGGCTTCCAGCAGAAATGTGACCATCAGGGGGAGGAGCGTCTCTGTCATCCCTTCCTTGACTTGTTTCCTAGCTGCTTTGCTCCCTGCAAGCGCAGGAAGTTCAAGGCTTCTGTAGGCTTGCTTTTGCCTCCCACGGCGGCAGCGATGTCATCACACCTCGGGTATAAAAGCGAACGCTCTAAACAGGTGTGGGACCTGCCACCCTCTGCCAGTTCTGCCTCTCTCTAGCCAAAAATCACATCCTCGGGTGGCTTCTCAGAGCCACTTATTTAAATAGACCTGTCACTCCGGGGTATTAATATTTCAGGGAGTTAACGAGGTTCTGCACTCCCGCTTGCAGTTCTCACCAGCAGAGCCGGAATTATTCCTTAGGAAGTCAAAACCAAAGATCCAAAGGGAAAAAGAGAGCGAGCAAGCGAGCAAGGAAGAAATAGCTTTTCAGAACCCAGCCATAATTTGTATTAAAACCCAAAGTTTTAAACATTCTAATATTTTTGTTCAACCTGACAAGGCAAATAAGAACTAGCATGAGCTCCTATGCTATGAACTATCAGAAAATTTAAACAATTCGATAATTTGTCACTTCTAAATGGCAACAGTTCCTTTTGAGCATAATGAAATCATAGCTTAGAAATTGAAGTTGGGAGGGAGGGGGGTCCAGCGCTGTGGCACAGCAGGTTAAGCTGCCGCCTGCAGTGCCACCATCCCATAAGGGCACCAGTTCAAATTCCAGCTATTCCACTTCTGATCCATCTTCCTGCTAAAGCGCCTGGGAAGGCTGTAAAGGACAGCCCAAGTGCTTGCGCCCCTGTACTCACATGGGAGACCCAGAAGGAGCTCCTGGCTTCAGATCAGACTAGCTGCGGCCTTTGTGGCCATTTGGAGGGTGAACCAGTGAATGGAAGAGCACGTGCGCGTTCTCTCTCTCTCTCTCTCTCTCTCTCTCTCTCTCCCTCTCCCTCTCCCTCTCCCTCTCCCTCTCCCTCTCCCTCTCTCTGTCTCTCCTCTATATCTGTAACTCTGCCTTTCAAATAAATAAGTAAATCTTTAAAAAGAAAGAAAGGAAAGAAAGGAGAGGAAAGGAGAGGAAAAGAAATTGGGTGAAAAAACACTCATTTTCAGAAAAATACTGCGCTTGACAAAATCAGAATGAGATACACATTTTTACCAGGAATCTGTCGTAGTGCTTTCCTTTTGCTTTTAAAGTGATCACAGGTGGCTGGCACTGAGGCATATGTGAAAACTGCTGCCTGGGACACTGCTGTCCTATTCAGGCACCTGTTCGAGTCCCAGCTGCTCCACTTCTAATCCAGCTCCCTGCTAATGGTCTGGGACAGCAGCAGGAGATGGCCCAAGTGTTTAGGCTCTGCCACCCATGTGGGAGACCCGGAAGAAGCTCCTGGCTTTGTATTGGTTCAGCTCCGGCCATTGCTGCCATCTGGGGAGTGAACCAGTAGATGGAAGATCTCTTTCTGTCTCTCCCTCTCTGTAACTCTTTCAAAAGAAATAAATATATCTTTTTAAAAATAATAATAAAATAAACAAAGTGATCCCAGGATCCCTGCAAAGAGCTTCGAGTCAGCTTCCTCATGGAAATACAAGCGCACCCTGTACGGAAGCAGCAATCTCAGAGAAATTCCCAGGCTGCTGCTGTCTCAACACTTTCATTCTGTCTACACTGATAGGAACTGAAAAGGAAACGAGAAGAAATAAAAACATCTGTGCGAATTCTGTAGGCACCTCGGCAAGGATCCTTACTGCTGTTCACCAACCCAGGAAGCCACCCAACCACGGACATGTCTTTCAGCCAAACTTACACACGAAGTGCAAGGGAAAATGAACCCCACTTTTCTAGGAAGAACTGCACTAGTAGGAGATGAAAAGCTTCCTCCAGGAGGTGTCACATTTTCATTTCAGGCAGGAATGCAGAGTAAGCTGCAAAGGAGAAACTTCCACCATGCCGAAGATTCTCTTCTCCCTTTTGCGTCCTTTCCCACTAAAATTAGTTTCAGCAGTGGTTCTAAACTGGGGTCAATCCCGCCCCCCAGGACAGCTGCAAGGCCTGGAGACCCTCTGGGCTGTCCCAGCCTGGGGGTGCTATAGTCAGCTAGTGGAGGAGGCCAGGGATGCTACTCAAAACCCGACACAAGGAAGAACCCGTCTAGTGGTGACAGGATGGAGAAACCCTGCGAGCACAGTCTCTGACCCTCCACGGGAAAGCGGAAGCATCTCACTACAAGGATACTTTCCAAGGGACAGTGAGCCACATTTCCTCGTTCATGCAGCAAACAACTGCTAAATACATAAATGCACCAGCAACGATCGTCACACCGATGGTCATAAGCAAGAGGAACCGCCAGGCGGGATCCAAGGGCGGTCCTGTGTGGACTCACTCACTCCCCAGCACGACTTCCAGAAGTGGGTGTTGTCAAAAGCCACATTCTACAGAAGGGGAAACTGAGGCCCAGGGAGATGAGCAGTCGGCTCCAGCTTTACAGAGGGGCTGGACTTGAAGCCAGGGCCCCGGCTTTGTGGGTTGGGTCGATCTCTGCTCCGGGTCCCAACACACAGTGCGCGACACATGACACACAAGGACCTACACTGATAAGGACCATTCTGGACAAGGACGGGAAGCGGCTCACAAGGCAGGGAAGGGGGCAGAGAACCTAACGCTAAGCATGTCTCCAAATATCGGGGGGGGGGGGGGGGTTGGGGAACCTATTAACACAAAGGCACTGCCCTCAGGCAGGTGTTTCCATAACCCTGCACCTGCCCTCGGATGTGCCTAAAGCCTCTAGGAGACCTAGGAAGGAAAGCACAACAGTGACACAGCAGTGATGGGAAGGAAATGGACTTGAACAAGAGTTTGCACTTCACTCTAATTCTCTGGAGAAGACGCACTGATGTGATTGACACCATAAATTTTCTGCACTCAGCAGCCCATCCAGCCAGCCCGAAGTGGATAAAGCTTCTGCCCAACACAAAAACACCGCATAATCACCATTCAATTAAGAGGTGTCATTTCCCCCGGATATGACAGGCAGAGCCGGACGCCACAGAGACTAGGATCTGGTTTTTCTCTAATGAAATTATCATGGAATCAAAAGCACAGGCAGAGATTAGTTTTATTTTATTTATTTTATTTATTTATTTTTGACAGGCAGAGTGGACAGTGAGAGAGAGAGACAGAGGGAAAGGTCTTCCTTTGCCGTTGGTTCACCCTCCAATGGCCGCTGCAGCCAGCGCACTGCGCTGATCCGATGGCAGGAGCCAGGTACTTCTCCTGGTCTCCCATGGGGTGCAGGGCCCAAGGACTTGGGCCATCCTCCACTGCACTCCCTGGCCACAGCAGAGAGCTGGCCTGGAAGAGGGGCAACCAGGACAGAATCCGGCACCCCGACTAGGACTAGAACCTGGTGTGCTGGCGCCGCAAGGTGGAGGATTAGCCTAGTGAGCCGTGGCGCCGGCCGAGATTAGTTTTAATTAGGACCTCTTTTATTTCCAAGATTTCGATCTTCAAAGTCTATCTCCTCGCTCACTGAGTTTGCTTTTCTTAATGCATTCCCTAAGATGGGTTAAAGCAGGGTGAGTAAAAGCCAAAAGCAAGCTGTGAATCCTACAGCCCCAGCCTAGTCACAAGAAAACCACCACACAGGACCCCAGTGGGGAGACACTGCGCACAGCCCGGTATCAACACTGTTAAGCCACCAACAACAGGGTAAGCCTGAGGACGTGACACTCCCAGACCAGACGGGACTGGGGACATGGAACAACTAGATTCAGGGGCTGACTGGGGTCCTGGAATTAAAAGTGGACCTTAGGGGCCACTGCTCTGATACAGTATGTTGGGCCACCACCTGCAACGCCAGGATCCCATATGCAGGCTGGTGTGGGTCCCTGTTGCTCCACTTCTGACCCAGCTCCCTGCTAATGCACCTGGGAAAGCAGTGGAGAACAGCCCAAGTGTTTGGGCCCCTGCCACCCATGTGGGAGACTGAGATGGAGTTCCTGGCTCAGACCCGGCCACTGTGGCCAATGGATGGAAGATCTACCTCTCTCTCCCCCCCACCTCCCTTTCAAACAAACGAATCTTTAAGATAATCAATAATAACAGTAATAACGGCCAGAAGAAGAACTCTGATGCCAACCGCAGAAGGGTGCTATGGTCAGAAGGTTGGTGCCCACTCAAGTTCCCATGTTGCAATTTGAGACCCTCAGTGATGGTGGTGGGAGGTGACCATGTCCTGAGGGTGCAGCCCTCCTGAATGGGGTTGGTGCCCTTAGAAAAGAAGCTTGCGGGGGGCTCTTTTCCCCCTCCACCACGTGGAGATACCACCAGAAGAAACAGGCCTGCACCAGACCCAGACCCTGGTCTTGGACTCTCCTGCTCCCACGACCTACAAAGTATCCAGTCCGCACTATCCCGTTACAGCAACAGGGACAGACAGAGGGGCGGGACCCCTCCAGGGGAACTCCTAACCCAATGCCAAAGCAAAAACAAAGACAAAATGAACTACCCAGCAGTGGCACCCCCCACCGACTCAGCCCTCAGCTGCTCCCTGCACACCTGACACCTGCTCTCATTCAGTTCTCACGGCCTGACGCAGCTTGCTAAATGCGACCTTTGCCTCCAACTTGCGGTTGGGCAGGATCCAGCTGAGTAGCACAGCACATCTGTGCGATCCTGGCCCGGATTACAAAGAACTGTGACAGCGCACCCCCAGGTGGGTGGGACAGGGAAAGGCCTTCTCCAAGACGGCAAGGAGGAAGTGGCCCAGGACAGCTGCCCTGTGGACCCGAAGCTTCCGCCCAAGTTCTTCCCACACTGAGACGTGTCACAGCAAGAGGAACAAACTGCAGCTCCCCACACAACGCCAACCCCGGCACGCGGGGAGCGACGGTGGCCTGGCCTCCTCCACCGTCCTGTGCCCGCCTTTGGCTGGGCATTCCTGCCATCCACAGCCAAGCCCAGAACACACATTTCTGAAGAACACACTTGGGGAGCAGGCTGGGTAAGGGGTGAGGGCAGCTCTCACCCCTCCCCAGAGCACCGCAGAGAGCGCCCCCTGCAGGCCTGGAGGCAACTGTTCAGATGACAGCCAAGTCCTCAGCAAAGGCAGGGCCCTTTGTCAGACTCCTAGACTCTGTGGCTCCCAGGGCGAAGGGGCAGCCCAGCATTTCCGGGGCTGGACACTGCAAGGCAGGCTGGACGTACCTGCGAGCATCAGGGCGCGGATGCAGTCCGTGCGGCCCTGCATGGCAGCTTTCATCAGGGCCGTGAAGCCAAACACGTTCCTCCTCTCCAGGTCGAGGCCCGGGAAGTAGTTCAGCAGGTAGCTGGTGATGGTGGCGTGCCCTGTAAAGAGAGGTGCACACGTGTGGAGGCGCTCGAGCCCACAAGGCTCTCGGGGAGAGAGACAGAGAGGGTGATGCTCCACCCCCGCCCTGGGCTGGCACGTATATGCATGCAAGCGTGTGCACTGTATGTACTGTGTGCATGTGCACATATGTGTGTCGAATCCCAAGAGACAATTCTCCCAGAGCCCAGGAAGCAGAGAAGGCACAAGACACAGCCTGGCCCCATGCCCACACCCGTCAGCAGCCCCTGGCCATGGGGAGAGGCCCTGTCCCATCATGCTGCTGAGGAGGGGGCTGGAGCCAGGGCTGTGGGCATGTAGGGGGCAGCCTGGTGTAGACACAGCCGGCAGGGCAGGCGCTGGCAGCTCCCTGCAGGAGCCTCGGTGCAGACAGACACGAGTTGCAAGGAGCTTCTCTACCGTCCCCGAGTGCTCGGCACAGGGCGAGGAACCCGTCAGCCCAGCAATAGGGTGCAACCTGTTCACACTCGCGACCCCTCTGCAGCAGGCCTCTGCGTCTCACACACAGCCTGTTACAACCAACGGCCCCTTCCATCAAGCTAAGCAAGCAGGAACACTGGAGAGCCCAGATCTCTCCCTCGCACCTCCCAGAAAGGATCTGCTCCTGCTCATTCCCAGAGGGCATCTGCAGACGCTCTCAGCGAGGGGCACACAGGACAGCCTGGTCTAAGGCTCAGCAGCCCAGGATTCTCCCACCCAAACCCAAACGGGGGCCAGCGCTGTGGCCTAGCAGGTAAAGCCACCACCTGCAGTGCCGGCATCCCATAGGGGCGCCGGTTTAAGTCCCAGCTGCTCCACTTCCAGTCCAGCTCTCTGCTAATGGCCTGGGAAAACAGTGGAAGATGGCCCGAGTCCTTGGGCCCCTGCACCCACTTAGGAGACCCAGAGGAGGCTCTTGGCTTCAGATTAGCACAGCTCTGTCCATAGCAGCCACCTGGGGAGTGAACCAGAGAAGGAAAGACTCTCTCTCTGTGTAACTGATTTTCAAATAAATAGATCAATCTTAAAAAAATAAATCCAAACACTGCAGTTTAAAAAGAACAAACAGAGCAGGGAAGTAGCCTCCCTGCACCCCAAGAAGCAGCTCTGGGGTCAGCAGCCTGTGCCACAGACGCCACCCTGTCCTGTGTGAGCGCACCCACCCTCCGCACCTGACACTCTGAGGGCAGGGCCGTGAGTTTATGGGGTTATCCTGTGCACTGCAGGATGCTGGCAGCATCGCTAGTCCCCAGCTCCAACCCCTCTCCGTGCTGGTTCTCCCGCAGCTCCCTGGCTCATGCCGGCCTGCAGGTGTCCAGGCCCCCGGAGGTCCCCGTTCTCTCTGCATCCCTACTTCCTCCCAGGGAAACACGCTGTGGAGAAGACCGACCCATGCCACCTCCGGCCGAGGCTTCCCAGGGGCTACACACTTGGTGAGACGAGGGGCAGGGAGAGGAGGCGAAGCCACCAGTCTGACCCACACACTTCCCCTGTGCACCCTGTGGCAGCTTCCCAGAGCCCCGCCTCCTGCTGAGGCCAAGACCTCCTGCAGGGAGGGGCCGGCGCCCTTGGCCTTCGTGCCCCAGCCCTTTCAGTGCCCAGCAGACCCAGTGTTAAATCCTCCTTGTTCCCGAGCTGCTCCCGTCTCCCCATCCACGCCCTGTGTCCCCCTTGGGGACAGTGCTGCCTCCCTCGACAGTAAATCCCAGGATTAGTGTCTCTCCAGCTGCCACATTAGAAACAAACAAGCAACCCAATAAGAATTCTTCCCAGAAGCAGGCCTGCCTGCCACGCGACCCCATCTTCCCCCTGTCTCCTCGACCCACTGCTGACCCCTAAGTGGGAGCCAGGCCCTTCCCAGCCACAGAGCCCCAGACAAACATGAGAGTGACACAAACGGCTGCAACCTCCAGGCTCCGAGACTCACGGGGTCCCCACACCACACAGGAGGGACTCCTGCTCTCTCTGCTTGGCCTGCCTCTGCACCGGTCACTGAGAGCCAGCCAGGGCGGTGGCGAGATCTGCAATCTGCAATCTGTTTAGAGCCACTTCCCTAGGAGCATGAAAGAGCGAGACCACCTGAGTTTCAGCAGGATGCGCTCCACACCGATGTGTCCCATACACCTGGAACAGGAGAGCAGAGGGAAACCAGAGAACCCGCAGAGCAAACCGCCCATTATGCAGATCTCTTCTGCATGGTGTGCTGGCTTTTGGCTTTGCCAGGACAGCAGAAACCCACTCCCCACACAGACGACAATCTGGGTGGGCCGATGCTCCTAAGAACATGTAACTGTCATCTTTTCTTCTTTTTAAAAAAGATTTATTTTCCTATTTATTTGAAAGGCAGAGTTACAGAGAGAGCAAGACAGAGAGCTGCTGGTTTGCTCTCCAAATGGCCAAGATGGGTGCAGGGGCCAAGCACTAAGGACATCTTCCATTGCTTTCCCAGGTACTTTCCTGCAGGAAGCGGGACAGGAAGTGGAGCAGCTGGGACTCAAACAGGCATCTGTATGGGGTACTGGCATCGCAGGTGGTGGCTTTACCCACTATGCCACAATGTCAGCCCCAACTTTGCTTCTTAAAAACCAGGACAACTAAGCAAAGGGAGACTTCCTCACCTTCTGTGTGTGATTTACACACATACACACACACAGCCTTTCTTGGACAAGCGAATCTAAACACGGCCCATATCAGAATCCAGTTGGAATCTACTCCATTTAAGACATCAGGGAACAGGATTTGGCTCCCGAGAGTCTCAGAGAAGCCCTTAGAAAGGATGGGCTGACCACAAAGACCCCACACACCCACTTTCTCACTGCACCTTACCCTACCTAAGACAAGCGCACAAGGGACCCAGGGTGAACAGGAACTTGGACAGACTTGCTTTTTAAGGGGGGCCAACGTAGGCACTTGAGGGACCCGGCTCCGAGAATACTCCAGGCCAAGTCCTGAGGCCACGGAGCCACCGCCCGTTCCACATCTGTGGACAGGGAGTAACAGCACCTCGGCGTGTGGAAATCACAGCAGGGAACGCACATGAGAAGCACCCTGCCACAGAGATAGACTGCAGCCAAGCAGGCAGCCGGTCTCAAAGGGGCAGCACGCACACCCAAGGACCTGTGGGTGGTGCACAGTGACTTCCCCGGGGGTGAGAAATGGGGGTAACCTCGTGGAGGAGCGATGGAGCGTGGCCTCAGACAGGGTGTCAGAGCTGACATCGCCAGGCACAAGCCCTGTCGGCGGCAGGTGCCCATGATGCGGGGGGGGGGGGGGGGGGGGGAGGCAGGGGAATAGCCCTCCCTCAAAACCCACGGCTCCCGTCCAATCATGAGGAAAGCAGCAGGTGCATCCAGGTCAAGGCATGCGCCACAGAACCGCCAAGGTCACCAAAAGCAAAGGAAGTCTAAGAAACCAACACAGCCCAGAGGAGTCTAAGGGGACGTGAGGACGTGAGCACTGAACATGATGTGGGACGCCGGCCGGGACCCTGGAACAGGAGGTGGACAGGACAGGGAGCTGGGTACAGAGTGGGCTTGGCAAGCAAGAAGGCTTCCGCCTCAGTTCCTTCACTGTATGACCCCAACAACAGCACAGACCCGGTGCTAGGTGCACGGGAATTCTCACAATCCCCGATTCTGAAACCAAACGCCTGATTTCAGAAAAGATCGAGCACAGGGCCACAGGGAAACACACAGGCAGGGACGGGGATTCACGGCTGACTCCCTGGTGTGGAGCCTCTCCATGCACACCCAGAGGCACCCGGAGGTAGCAGCAACCTCCCTGGGCACACAACCGACAGAAGACAGAGACCAGACCCGGGGAGGGCAGAGCAGGGACAGAAGTGGCTGACCCAGGAGTTACCAAAGAAGTGAGGGACAGGGGCTGCAGATTAAGCCGCCACCTGCACTGCCAGCATCCCATACAGTTGCCAGTTCAAGTCCCAGCTGCTCCACTTCCAATCCAGCTCCCTGCTAATGTGTCTGGGAAAGCGGCAGCAGAGGCCCAAGTACTCAGGCTCCTGCACCCACGTGGGAGACCCAGAGGAAGCTCTGTGCTCCTGGCTTTGGCCTGGCCCAACAGTCTCCTCTTGTTCACAGCTCACTCCCCTCACTAACGGCTGGCTCCTCCCCTTCCCTGTGACTCAGTGGCTCCTCTGACAAGAGCCTCAGCCAGCAGCAAGTTTGTAGGTGTGACATGAGCAGAAGCGGGAGAGGCTCTGATCCAGTTAGTCCCATCCCCGCCCCCGCTTCACACCTGTGCCCCACAGGAAATGGTGGAGCAGTTTCCCCGGGCTCAAGAGCCCAGGACCAGGGTCCCCAGCTCAGTCACAGACTCAAGCAAGGGTCACCTAGATCCACTGGTCCCAGCCTATCTACAGGGACATGAGATCAGCAACAGCTGGCTGCCACGCATGCTCCAAAAATCATCTGAGCGACAGTAATCCCTATAGATCAGTCGTCACAGGCCAGCTACCTGCCGTCAATCACTCGAGCTTCCTTCTCCCCCCACCCCCAGTGCCCCTTCGTGCAGCTGAACATCCCACCCTGCCAGCCCCGCCCCACCCCTGCTTCCTGTTCCTCCCTCCTCACCTCCCTCCCTGAGCTGAGCCAAGCACAGCTGCACCCCTGCCCCCGCTGTCCGCTCCCCAGAGGGCCAGCATGACCCCTTCAATCCCCATGGTTTCTGCTCTCAAATGAGGTCTCAACTCCCACCGATTCTCTGCGACCTCACCACCAACGCCGTCTCCTTGATCCCGTGACCCCAAAAACGTGCCGTGCCTTCTCCAGTCCGGCCCCCCTCCCCGCACACACCAGGCCCCCCACCTGGAAGGCTCATCTCCCTTCTCTCCCAGCCAACCCTTCAATGCAAGCGTTTCCCTGGTCCTCACACCTGGATTAGACCCCTGGCCTGCCTCTGCTGTCCCCTCGCAGCTCCCACCAGTGTGGGATAAATAGGCAGGCATTTAGTTAGGTCTGCCAGCTCAGAGTCACAAGCTGCT